AACAAACAATTTCGTTTTTAGAATAAAAAGACATAACATTTTTTTTTATACAGTTTTATTTAAAAAAAAAACAAAGCGAAACAACATGAAAAATTTTCTCGCAAATGTGCTCACTCAATATATACGGTGGCGAGAATGTAAATAAGGAAAATACATTTTAGCAAGTTTGGCTACTTTTCTTTTTTTGTTAATATTTTTTTATGAAAATCTAGCTTACTATCTAAAAAACCATGTAAATTAATATTCGACGAATTTTAACAAATGCTGATCAAAATTTTAAACTTTTTAATCAGGTTTTTAGAATTTTTTTGAGCATGCAGTTTTGTAGGCCATTAAATTTAAGTATAAAAAGCTGCAAGTTCGAAGTAACTTGGACTTACCGTTGATTTTTGGCAATTTTTTGTTCGCGTATTTTTTTTTTTCAATACAAGTATGCGCAAAATTTTTTTAGTATGGAGAAAATGAACAACACCTTCCACAAAAAAATTTACCAAAAATCTACGGTAAATCTTTGCTACTTAAAATTTGCACTTCATTATACTTAAATTGAACATAGTCCGAATGTTTCTAGGAAATCTAATTAAAAAGCTCAAAATTTTGATGAAACTTTATAGAATTTTGATAATTTTTGTACAAAGTTTGATTCACATGGTTGTGTTTGCCGCTGTATCTACAGCTTATATTTTTCATATTCATGAATTTTTTGAGGTAATCAATATTATTTTCTATAATTTCACTAAACTCAGGCTAGAATCCTTTCATTACAAAATAAATAAAACAAAACTTGACAAATAATTTCACAAGCCTTTTAAAAATTTTGACAAGAATGATCACTGGCATACAGCGCGTGTACCAGTTTGACAAAAAAACATAATCAAAGATTATAGAAAATAAGGATGCTGGCTATGCTTGCGGCTCCACTATATTTCTATGTTCTTTGTGATTACGAAAGTGCTGCCACGTTTGTACGAAAATTTGTTTTTGGGCCAGAGTACTTGGAGAAAATTGGAAATCGAGACTTAACCGGTACAAATATGAAAAAGCGGGACACTTATACGTCCCGACTTTTTCCCAAAATCGGTACGAATAGTCAACGTAAGTATACCCCCTGACTTCAATGCTCATATACAAACTGAGGAGTTCCGTTAGTTTTTTTATGATTCAATGATCGCAACTAAACAA